ACATCACAAGAAGGAAGGCCCTGCACCAATACCTGTACTGAGATTTTTTGTGTCGCAGAAAAAGGCTCTATAAAGTGACCAAGAAGAAGGAGTTACGAGAAATGCTTTGGCGCTGCCTTCACCAGAGCCAGCTCTCCATCAAATAGATGAGGAAGGAAGGAAATAATATTGTGAGATCACCTAAAATCAAATGCATTTTTTAATCATTTATCATATTCCAAAAATTAATAGTAAGTGACATTCTCCTCCTTGGTGAAAGACCACCAGATTGGACTCCTTTGTCATCTTCCTCTCCTTCCAGTGATTGTTCTCTTGCCTTCTTCACTTTTTCGCCAAAGCCTGTTGCTTTGAATGATTTAAGGGGATATTGGTGGGCTCTGCTGTCTTGTAGGCGGGAACTAAAAAGTCACGAGTTTTTTGTATTGGTTGTGAATGGCTTGTGTTGGGAAGAGACATGCGAGAGAGCTGCAGTTCCTGAGGCTGGTGTGCTTAAGCTGGACAGGGCCTGTGGGCCCAGACTTGATCATCTCCTACAAAAACAGCCATTACTGGGTGCTGCATTGCTTTAATACAAATTAGTTATCTGCAGGAGGAATTCCAGGATCATGTAAGTTATATTCCCTGCGTGCAGAATCTGCTGCAGGAAGCAGATAAAGCCAGGGTGGATTGCTCCTGAGTTTTGGTGATCAGATGAAAGGTGTTATGTTAGTCAGCATTTCTTTAATTAAAACCTGTGGTCTGTGAGCTCAGACTTCTGGATTCTGGTTTAACACTTGTTCAGCTTTGTTGGTCTTTGGGCCTCAGCCTTGTGTGAAATGTCGGACAAAAGACTGAGGTTATTCTTCATGGTGGAGCTCCCTTTGTAAAGCACTTTATCCACAGTCAATAGACCCCTTCACTGTTACTGGATTACAGCTGAGTTTAACCATTAACCCATGTTCACCACTAAACCATGTCCCCAAGTGCCATTAGTTACAGTTATTGTTCAGAGGGACAGTTTAAATGGGATGTTGAAATAATCACTTTTTAACAGCTATGCCAGTGTTACAAAGGCACCTTCCTTTCCTTGTAATTAAGAAAAATCATCATCTGAGTGATTAAACCTTCTCACCAGAAGCCCCAATGCAGCGGTGTGCAGTACAGATAAATTCACAGTTTGAACTGGAATGTTCAAATGCAGATTACATATGATCTGGATTTGCTGGAAATCCAGTTTGAGCCAGAGGCAGCTGGAACACTCAGCCTCTCTGGTAATGAGGCCCATCTGCAGAAGGTCTTGCACAGAGCTCTCCAGTGTTCTGACTGGTGTAAGACCAGTTGATCTGTGGCTGTGGATGAGACCAATTCCATGCGGGCACTTAATTCCTGCCACTGCTGTTGGACACACATGAAGTGTTGGTAAGTCACAAATGGACAGCCTGTCCTGAGGGGCTTTAGCCATGTCCATCTCCAATGGTGTGGCTGTCCTGCCATGGACAGGGCTGGGAGAGCCCACAGGACCTTGGGAATGAAGATTTGCTCATCGCTCCCCAAACATTCACCTGCCAAGGAACAGAAGGAGCTGCTCATAGCCCTGGGCACTCTGTTAAGAGACTGCCAGTCCCAGGGCAACCCAAGCATGGGAGAGAGCTGAGACTGGGAACAGGACCCTCTAAGTTCACTCTTCTACACAGGGTGCAGGTGCTCTCAGAGGATGTCCAGTAGTCTGGTCCTCTGGGTATTATTTTGATGAGTTAATAATTTTGATTAAAGTTCAACACAATTGTTTTTTAAAAGAGAAATTATTCACTGCAGGGAAGCTCCTTCCTTCCCAGAGAGCTTTCTGCTGTCCTGAACAAACAGAGGCATACCACTGAGACATGTGCAAGTTTGGGGAGTTATAAAGTCATGGTGCTTCCAGTTGTCCTTCCATCTCCCAAAGTCAAAGGGAGCTTTATAGCAGTTTCTCTTGCATTTATAAAAGGAATCTGTGGCTAGCAATATGTTAATGAAATTGAGCTCTGTGCTTGGATATTTAGAGTCTCTAGGTAGGTTTTCTTTTTTAAAAATTAAATAGAACAAACAGAATTTTGTTTTACTCTCCTCACATAAGGGTTGTCATGTTCATTAGCAGCTGGAGAAGGTGCTTGGCTGATTTTCCAAGTGCAAGGCATCCTGGATTAAGCACACAGTATCAGTCTGGGTACCTGTAAAGCCTCATTGGTCTTTTGCTGGAGAACACTCAGCAACCTTCCTTCCTGGCTTTGTGTGGGATTTGGGTAAGGAATACTGCAGCCAGCACTGCACGAAGCTGCCCTAAGATGCTTCCCTCAGTACAACCAGCAGGACACATGGATCAACTTGGGACACGTGCAAGGATGGTTGAAGGGAAGCCCCTGTGAGGGCTTCAGGAGAGGGGAGCTATTGTGCCCTGATAAGCACTTGTCCCTGGCACCACTGGGCTTTGCACCTTCCCCGTTTGCAGCTGCAGCTCTGCTGCCATGGCCCATGGCCCAGGCACTCCCTTGCACACAAGTGGGGCTCCCCCAACAGCCAAGCCCTTGTTTCCCTGGCCTTGCTGTGGCTGTCAAGCCACTGCCATCCTCCAGCATTTCCATGGACTGCTGGATGGGAACAGAACCCTGGCTCTGTCCAGCTGAGGTCATGCAGGATGTGCATGGCGGCTCCTTTCAGGTGGGTACAATTCCCTTTTCTTGAGCCCTGTTCATGAATGTGGTTCTGTCTCATGTGCCTTGCCAGCAGCTTCTGCACAGCCTACACTTCTGCACACTGGATGGATCTACTTGTTCAAAGTCTTATCACTGAGGCAATCTTTTCCGCCTATGGAAAGTGAGAATGAAATTGCCTAAATGAAGCAATTGTAGCAGCCTGGAAGGATAAAGCTTTCTTTCTGCTTGGAGTTGTTTTTGTAGCAAGAGTGCCATGATTGTGTTTGTGTCCTGTGTTTACTGGCATAGGAAAGAATGTGGGATTGGGATTTTTATGGCACTTACAACTTGATGTTTTTTCCATGAGCTATTCAAATGAATCATTCTTGGATTTTTAGTGCCTTCTTCCCATTGCAGTATACCGGCTTGGGGGCAGTCAGAGAGAGAATACTCCCTTGAGCACGGATTTAAAATTTGATGATATTAGAGGGCAGATTCTTGTCAGCCCTGGTGCATCACCATCTCAGCACATCCAAGATCCAGCCTCTTGGATGGTCTGTTGTCCCTTTGGGTTAAGAGGGAGCACAGCTGTGTAGTAGGAAAACATGTGAGTCATGATTGAAGGGCTGTGGGAGCTGCAGTTTTCCCTCCCTGAAGCCAAACCAGGCCCTCTTCTCATAAAAATATTTTGAGCTTTATTTTGGGAGGACAGAAGTTTTTGAATGCAATGCTCCAACTTAGTTTCTCAGGTGGAACACTTGATTCTTTAATTAAAACTGTTTTCAGAAGATGTTGTCTCAGCACTGAACAGCCTGATTTACAGCTAATACTGATATTTTAGCACCCTGGTTTGTGACCAGCTGTGACAAATGGTATAAATCCTGGAGGCAGCAGTGAAGGTAGGGCTGGGATTTCACCTGGCTGATTTTTTTTTTTTTGTTTGTTTGATCAATGTATGAGCTTGGAGAATTTGTGTGATGTCTTTGGATCTCCAAATATCTGCAGATGAAGAATAGTATCAATAGAGTGGCACTGAGAGAGTGTTTTGTGCCCCTCAGTGTGTTTAACAAACCTTCCTGCACTCATTATAGCCAGGCAAAACTCTGAAAGGACAAATTCTGACATTTGGTCTCTGAACAGATCTGAAATCAAGCAGTTTTCAAGCTTCGAGGATAAATTAACTGATGAAGTTAATTTAGGTTTCTGTAGCTTTTGTTTTTGTTAAAGTGAATAGAGGAGATATTTCAGGCATTACTGTGGGATTAGTCCTACATGTTTCAGGCATTACTGTGGTGTTAATCCTACATGTTTCCCATAATTTCTATAATCCCTGCATTTATGCAAAGTTCGTGTAAAACTTCTCTGCTGACCAGTTTTCACAAACAAGCCCAAAGAAGTGTTGCTTGTCAAGCAAGGTTTGAGGATTTACTCCTGACTCTTCTCATTACAATTGCTTGTATGTATCAGTACCTTCTACAGCAGCATAATTACCTTTGAGAGAATCAACATTCTTATTCTTCCCTCCTTTGTTCTCAGAGTGTACAACAGGATTTCAGCTGCTCAAGGCTGCAAGTAGATAATCTTGGAGAGGGGACAATAAGCCTCTGTGGCTTTGTTTTCCCACAAGATAATAATCCTGATGCTCTGATATTGAAGACACAGCACTTCAATCCCGAAAGCATTTGGGAGTGTTTTTTTCACTCAGGTTTGCCAAGCAGCCACTCTGCTTCACATTTTGAGGCCAAGGTGTCCCCAGGCCACCACACCGTTCTTGGGAAGAGCTCCCATCTGGCAGAAGTGACCTTGCATAATAACCAGATATTCCAGAGCTCTGGTTGAACATTCCTGAAATACTTAGGGAGATCAGCATGATCTTGTCAGGATTTTTTGTTCTTAATTGGTGCAAACATAGTGCTTTCTTTGTTGAGGTCTGTTTTGTTGTATATCCATGAAAAACCATTTTGATCATCCATTTCTTAACAAAACAAAGGAACTAAAATGTTATTGGGGAGTGTTATCTCAGAATTTAGCAATTTATCCAATGAGCTGTTGTTATGGTAAACTAAAGAAAAAGAATTCCCAACTGTTGGCCCTGCCGCACACTGTCAGAGTCTTCCTATGTGCCACCTTACACTGCTCACAGGTGTAAAGGTAAGGGATGAGCACTTCTAATGTTAATGCACTTCTAAAGCTTAGTGAACGCCCAAGATCTCCAAGCATTCAGGCGTAGTAAATTATTTAAAAATACTACTGCTAGATGCATGTGAAATGGGAAATGGATCAGAAAAGGATGGTTATTTTTTAAAGGTTATTTCTGGGTAAATCCTTTATGTTATTTTTTGTTTTCTTCAGACTTTCTCAAACAGACCACGTATGAAGTGGAGGCGTTCTTAGAGGCCATTCAGTTCTTCCGGCAGGAGAAAGGCCACTATGGCACATGGGAAATGATAACTGGCAATGAAAAAGAGGTAAAATAATATATTCCTGATGGGGTTTTTTGCTTTGGGTATGGCAGCTCTAATGATAGTCAAGATTATAAATTCTCTTGGCAAAAAAGGGCATCTTAAAAAAGAAAATTTAGTAGATAAAAATACCTGAAATCTTAAGACACCTCTTACTCATATGTAAGTGATAATTCTTTTTATTAAAAAACTTCTGAAACAGAATCTTGTATAGTAACACCATAATTAAATTAAAAACCAAAAATCTGTGTACTTCAGTTCTGCAGAAATGGAATGCTAAGCCCAAGGTCTTGAGCATCCAGCGTTGGAGCACTCATGGTAGCTGAGATTACCCCACAGTCCCACTGGTGTCATTATTTACACTCTGATTTGTAATTTTTTTTTTCCAAACACTGAGCATTCAGCAGCAAGTGTTTACTTGTTTACTTTAGTGCCAACTGCTGACTGTCTTCCTTGATGAAATCTGGCTTCGCTCTGGGAAAATGGAAGAAATCTTAAGGAGAATGGTTTGTTTTAAGGAACCATATTATTGTTTTAGAAGAAGCTAACCTTTGAAATGCTGAAAAATGTGGAATCTGGAGAAAAATCTATAAACAGTGTCATTCCCACTGCCATCATGTCAGTGATAGAAGCTCCCTGCTAACATCTGATAATAAAATCTTTAAGGAGTTACATGAGGGTTTTTCTCTTCTCCCTTCCTCCCTCACGTTATGGAGTTATTATAGTGCTAGTTTCATTTTATGTTTTATTTTTCCTATTGCTTGCCAACAGTTTACTCATAACCCATATGCCTCAAGAGAGCTGTAATCAGAAGACATCCAGCCTAGTTCCACTATTATCTTCTTAGCAATAACTCATTCTCTAAGTATAGTGTGTTCTCATGGCCTGCTTAGACCAAACATAATAATTATTTTAGGCAAATATCCAAGCTAAGTGAGTGGTTTGAAGCAAGCAGGCTGAAATTTGTTGCTGTAAAAGTCCCTGCAGAATGCCAAGAAATGTATTTGCTGACACTCATTTGGTGGTGGCCCAGTCCTCACAGTGTCAGCGCACACTGGGGCTACGGCATGGATGGCGTGGGAGCATAAGCCCAGGCACCTGAGGGAAGACCCACCAATGCCTTAAAAACGTTCCCAGAGAACTCAAGATTCTTCACAATATAAAACTGTGGAATCACAGAATATCCTGAGTTGGAAGGGACTCACAGGGACCATTCAGTTCAGCTCCTGGCCCTGCACAAACACCCCAACAATCTCTCCCTGTGCATCCCTGAGAGCATTGTCCAAACACTCCTGGAGCTCTGGCAGCCTTGGGGCCGTGTCCATTCCCTGGGGAGCCTGGGCAGTGCCCACCACCCTCTGGGGGAAGAACCTTTCCCTGACAGTCAAACTAACCCTCCCCTGACACACCTTCATGCCTTTCCCTTGGCTTTGAAATCTATCTGATTTCTTGTCACATTTATTATTTGTGATAGTTTGTGTTATTCACAAGACTTACTTAAGGGAGCCATTAGTTTAGGACCTGAATTAGTGAATTGCTTTTGACAGACATTTGAGTCAGTAGAGCTGAATGTGAAGTGCCGCTGTGGCATGATAACTGAACCTAAGTACTTAACTTAAATGAAACTACAATAAAAGTGCATCCATATTTGAGGGATATTAGAGGTATTTTAAAGTAGGTTATTGTGTGTTGTATTTCAGTAGGGGCTGCTTATGCCCTGTTTTACACTGGGCTGCAGTCAGTCCTTTACTTGTGCTGCTCTAGTTCCTGCCATTTCCCTCTGCTGGTGTTGGTGCATGCCTCAGATCCCTTTAGCAGCTGAAATACATGAAGTGCAGTGTCTGGAAGCACTGATATGAATGAAAAAGCCCTTGCATGATGAAAATGGCAAGTTGGGGGTGTTCTTGCACTCTGTATTGACTCAGCCAGCAGCTGGGTACAGCAGGGATGTGATCCTGAATGTGGATTGTGCTGGGCTGTCGATGCAGCCTTTTCAGGCCAGAGACTGTCTATAAATAAAAACATGGTAAGGGAAGCCTAGACTGCCAAAATCAGATGTATATTGAGTCTTGCATATTTATTTGGTGCATTTAAGTTGGACAGGTAAGGAAGAAGTTGCAGTTCAAATCTAGGCAGAGGGAGTGCAAAGCCTCTGTGGGTGATTCCTGGCAGCTGGGAGGGAAGCTGAGCCACTGTGTGATGCCTGCACACATCACTCTGTGCTGCAGTGCTCAGCCTTCAGGTAATGAACAGGGTGTGAACTTGTCATTTTCATCTTCTGACCATACAGATCCTGAGCAATCTGGTGATGGAGGAACTGCTGCCTAACCTCCAGACAATGATGCTGCCTAAAATGAAGGGAAAGAGGAATGACAGGAAACGGGCCTGGTTTGGGGTAAGGACTGACACTTGGAGAGCAGCTGTTGCTCATAGCAGCTCTCTATGGGTGCTGATTCTGATCTCTGCTTCTCAATTTGATTTGGGTCCAGATCGTAGAGGAAACCTATGGTTTAGTCCAGCAGCAGGTGGCAGAAGGATTAAGTACCTTGAAAGAAGAATGTAGAGAATTTTCAAAAACTCTTGAAGGGACCATTCGTTCAGACATGGATCAGATTCTGAACTCCAAGAACTTCTTAGCTGGAAAAATCAAAGGTTAGTAGAGGAACAGCTGTGCTTTGGAGCAATTCTCCAATGTTTCCCATTGTGTTGTTCAAATTACCAGATGTGCCTGTTTTGAAGTCCTTGTGTGTTTCGAGAAATCCAACTGGAGACACCAATTTTCAGAACACAAATGAGCCTCTGCTGCTTTTGATGGGAACTAACAGGTGTGGCCACGGTATCTGTGAAAATACCAGGTCTTCTCAAATTGGAGCTGAGAGGTTTTCAGTATCCTGATCAGAGTTCATTCTGCTTTCATTTTTACTTGCACAGTCTTAGGTAGTGAAGATACAGGTCACACAAGCATAATTAAAAGACCTGATCTCTAGGAATGAGCCACAAAACCAGATTCTGGTTATGTGACAAGTGCATGGGCTTACAAAGAACATTTAAGCCAAAGGGCTTCTTAGGTGTTTTTTAATTAATGTGAAGTAATCATAATTTTGTTATGAATATAAAAAGGAATGTAAATAGCAGGAAAAATGTTGTTGGTGTTGCTTAAGCTGGCAAATGAATAAATAAATAAGTAGCTTGTGTTCATACTCAGAGCTGCTCTTTCCTCCACCCTCACAGTACCCCCAGTTGCCAGTGTTTGCTTAGGTGAGGTGTGAGACAAGTTTTCATTATCACTCATAAAGCTGTGAACTCCTTTCACACCCTCATCACCTCTGTGAAGGTGTGACTCCAGGGAAAAATATGAAATCATTGAATTAACGGTTAAGAGGTAAGTTCCAATCACTTCTTTCACTGTCTCTAAATGCAATTGTTGTCCTGTGTGACCCTTCAGCCAGTGTTTCTGAGCCTGTCCAGAAGTGCTGCACAGAGAATATCCAGCCATTTCTCACCTCCATCCTGGAGGAGCTCATGGGCCCCATCAGTTCTGGATTCACGGAAGTGCGCTTGCTTTTTGATAAGGAAGTGAATGAAATCATCCAGGACTTCCAGAAGACCAATGACATGACCAGGCTAAAGGAGGTAAGACAAAACAGAGCTGGAGCCTTTATATCAGTGCAAGAACCTTCTGGCTAGACCTTGGCTGGCAGCAGGATTTGCTTTCCTGGGTGAAAGCACATGAACACTTGGTATTGTCATTTAGAAAGTCTTGTGGTATTTGTGCAACTGAAGTGCAGATACCAGAATTTAGGTTAAAGCCAAATTGTTACATTCTCTATTAAAAATTCACCTCTGGTTGCTTTCTCTCAAAACCTACATGGGGCTGCAGAACGTGGATCAGCTCATGACCCTGCCCTTCAACTCAGTGAAAATGGAGCCCTGCTATCTGAAAGTGAACCTGCTCCAGGAGCTCCTCCAGGACCTCAAGAGTCGCTTCAAGGTCTATCACATTGATTCTGTGATTCAGAGGACACAGAACTTCATGCAAGAGGTACTATAAGATCCAGTTTTTCCTCCTGGGAGAACAGGTTAGGTTTGTCCTGCTAATCTGCTTCAAAGTTATCTTGAATTCCCAGTGTCTCAACAGCCAAGAAAATTATGTGTGTAACTAGTGGGGTGGCTAAATTCACCTGATTCCCTGTCTTAAGGCTTGATTTTTCAGGAAGGGTCTCAAATGTGTTTTACCAGAATGGAATGTCTCCTCCTTGGTAGTTGATTTTCTCACTAATACAAAGTAAAGCAATTAATGTTAGAAACTTGGAGACAGACAGTGTCTCACATGTAGGTGCTTTATCCTGCCTCACTTTTCAGGGGAATGGTGGAGGTGATGATATTATTCCAGATGAAAACTCAACTTCACCTCTTTGTCCCCTTGTGTGTGTATTCGTATAGGCCATAAATCTACTTTGCCTGGATTCCTTGTGAATGCCTGGCCAGAAGTCTCTGAGATGGCCAGTGGACTGATTTCAGTTGCCAGATCACAAGGCACATTTGGCCCTAAATTGAACCCTGTGATTCTAATCTGTATTTGTGAAATTTACTAATCTGCTCAGTAATCTTGTGAAATGGAGCTGGTCCAGATCTCTGGAGTAGAAGTTCTGAATATGGAAAACAAGTGTCTAGGACAATGCTGGGATAAGGTTTTCCTAAAAGCAGCTCTTCTGAGTGCAGCCAGGACCAGCAGCCAAGGAATTACTCAGAAATAAAATTCTGATTTCATGTCTGGTTTTTCAAGGGGGTACCATTCCAAAATGCTGCCAAATAAAGTGTCTTTCACTCAGTGAAGACCATGAGTCAAGACAAAGAAGCAGACAGAAAATAAACAGAAATAAACAGAAGTAAACAGAAAATAAATCCCATATAAAACAAGAGGTCATTTCTTTTCTGAACAGAACAAGAAATAAAATTAACAAGAAATAAGTTAAATTATAGCACGAGTTGTTGTAAACATGCTGTTATTGCGTCTTCCTCTTTAAAAGGCTGGTATTTTCCTCATAAAAATATTGTGTGGTTTCCCTTTTTGTCCATGGACGTTTATTTCATAAATAAGTAACGTCAGACATGTCTGTGTTGGTGTAGTATTTGTCTAAAATGTACTTCGGGTGGAGGGTGGAGCAGGATTCATTGCCTTGGAAGCTTGGCATCCTCTAGTGGCCAATTTCAGGAAATCTGGGAGCACAATGCTCAACTGGTTGAAGGAATGGCCCCCTGCATATCTCACTGTACTTCTTCAATAAGAAATGTTAAAATTTGAATGGGAACAACAGAAGAAAAGGCAAAACCTCATTAAATAGACTCAATTACTGCTTGCAAAGCTGTTTGTCTGAAATACCTTCAGAGTATGGGGGTAATATTCTTAATGATAAGCTGAAGATATGGTAAATGCCAGCTTAGCATAATTCTGCTGAGAAATGATTGCACTTTGTGTGACTTCTGCTGATGATTATTTGTATTAAAGGTACTGAAAATGCTGTGCATTATTATTCAATACTGTTTATTGATGATTAATGATAGAAGTCAACAGGAGCCTTCTTATTAGGGTCAATGAGTTTTGAATGTGGTCTGTATACACAGATAATCAATTCTACATTTTGGCTCTGTCACCATCAGTTTGGGTGGTGACATGAAATCAAATCTGTAGGGATTTGAAAAAGAAATCCCTAAAAGAGATTTGAAAAGAAAAGTGGGACAGCATGATAACAATACCACAGCTTTAATTTTATTTATTTATTGCAGCATTTTAGTGCTCTTCAGAGCACCTTCCCAGAAACACAATTTAAATTAACAGTTTGCAGGAATTTGATGTGACTGGTCTATAACAGATTTTTTTAACTACTCTTTTTAGCTGATGGAAAACGCAGTTTATACTTTTGAGCAGTTGTTCTCTCCAAGCCACCAGGCAGACTCAGCCAAGGTTGCAACAACCATTGAAAAAGTCAAGCTGAGAGTGCTGAAGGTAAATGTCATGTAGCACATTTGCAGGCTACTGTTTTGGAAACGAATATATTTTATATGAATGTACCTCAGTATTTGAAAGAATATAAGCTTTTACTATCCAGCTGAAAATACTGATTTGGTGGCATTTAGCAAAGCTGACCATTTGGGGGATAAAACTTAGTCTTGGGCAGACACTTATAAAAGTATTTGCACGTGCAGATAAATCAGATTATTACTATGCTGTGGATCTGGATAAATAATTTTTAATTAACTTTATAATTAGCCTGACAATAGGATTTGTTACTCTCAGAAAGGGCAATGCTGAAACACCTGAGGAGGGCAGTTGGGGGCTATTTCTAGTCTAAGAGTTAAAAGAAGCAAAAGAGATCCCAGAACAGTAGATTTTAGAGTGATTTTGTAGAAGCTGGACTAACCTGCTTGGCCATTCAAACCACTGTGCACCTGTGATGTAGCAGCTAAAGGCTGACAGGAACCAGTTCCTGTGAGAGTGGTGAATAATCCCAGGCATGTGTGAGCTTGTTTCTTTCTGGTCTGTTTTGGCAGCAATATGATTATGACAGCAGCACCATCCGCAAGAAGATATTTCAAGAGGCACTGGTGCAGATTACCTTGCCCACAATGCAGAAGACACTGGCTTCAACATGCAAACCAGTAGGTGTCTGTGTCTGAAAACCTCAAAAACTAATGATGAAAGGCAGGGGAGGAAAAGCATCTTGGCAGTAATTGCTTAACACTGTCAGGCAGATTTCTCTCAGAGAACTGTACAGATTTCCTGCCTACTCAGTGCTTAGATGTGCCACTTCATGGGTTGGGTAGGTGTGGAGCCCAAGGAAGATTTCAGGACACAGGAATACTATGTGCACACCTTGCTTTTTCAAAGGCAGTTGAAGTCCTTTGCTCATCCCTGGTTCATTCCTTCCCTAGAGATATGAAGTCCCTGAAACTGAGTTCTTCTGTACAGCTGGGATGCAGGGATGAGCTGGGCCTTGGGTTCACTTCTCTGTAGCAGCACCCGGAGGCACATCCAGGACAGTGCCCAGCCTGTGCTTAACTCCTTCAGCAAGAGACAGCCCTTACTCTCAGTGGTGTTCAGTGCAAGGGTTGCACAACAGTCAGGAAATAATCATAGAGACCATCTCTGTTCCCCTAATTAGACAGGACATGTTTAGTCAGCAAATACCCCTTTGCTAGAGGTGGTATCTGTGTGTCTGCAATAGGGTCTGGTTTGAATTCTGTTCACCTGAGCTCAGAAAAAATAGTCTCAACCCTCAAAGCCCTAGGCACCCTCCTGCCTTGTCCTGTGCCTGCTAAAAAAGGACTGCCCCAAGCCATCCTGGCCTCCTGCCCTTCTGTTTCCATGGATGTTCATCTGCTCCCCTTGGCTGTGAGCTCTCACCCTGTGTGCTGCTCTTGGTTACATGCAGCTTGTTTCAGTTTCAAAAACAAGTTTAAAACCAATTTTTTTGCCAAATTACCCTTGTGAGTCTTTGAGTGGGGATTTTTAAAAGTTAAAACTTTCAAGAATATATTTAAAATCTGTCTCTTCTTTACATCACTCTCCTTTCCTTAGGATCCCCAAAGTAATAGTCTCTTGAGTGTCAGCAGTGCCTTCAAAACAGGATGTTTGTGCACAGGGGCAAGCATTTTATCACTTGGAAGATGTGTGCAGACACCTCATGTCTCTGTCACAGAGGAAGCAATGGTGGTGCAAACTTCCACTAGCCCTTACTGTCTACTTTCACTAGCCCTTTCTGTCTACTTTCACACCAGCCTTTTGTATTTGTGCTTCTACAGAAATGAGCAGCCAGCTCTAGAAGCCAAGGTGTGGCACAGCTGACAGGCCCCGCCAAGTCCTGACCTTTCACTTGAAAACCTCCAGTTGATATATGTACATGCCTCTTCTACAAGTGGGCAGATGTCACTTAATTTACTTTTTATAGACCACCAAGCAGCTGCTTGATAATAATGATTCAGTTAGACAGCCTGTTGGGTATAAATCAGGGAGCTCAAAGTTATAAATAGGTTACACACCTATTAGAAAAACAAAACCAAACTCCGCATCTCCCTTGCATGGTGGATTTGCCTCCTTGGACAAACAGCTTGTGAGGCATTTCCTCAGCAGCTGTTTGTTTCAGCAGGCAGAGATCTGTAGTGCTTTTAACTGTGGTTGTACTGCAGTAACTCTGTTTGCTAAGTACATAATTGATTGTGGAACATAGCTCATGGAGTCATAGTTCAAACAGTGCACCCCAGGAGCTGTTTCAAGTCCTGCTCCATGGCATCTCCAAGCTATTTGGTTGCAGTAAGATTCAGAGTGCCTCAGTTTTCTCCATCTGTTCCTTTGTTCCCTACCTGCACAGGAGCTGCAGAGATATGAGCAGTACATTTTTGCTGATTACACAAGTGTGATCCAAGTAGAGAATGTATATGAAGAGATTTTATATCAGACACTGCTTGAAGAGGCCCTGAAAGGTGAGTAATATTCTTGAGGTGACAGGAGTAACACTGCAGCCTGTGGCCTATGAGCTATTCTTTCAGAGCTTCCCAGAGTCCTCACCTGGCTGCTCCTGTCCCACCTTCTCCAACACTAGGTGGTTACATCCCTAGAGTGTTTTTTCATTTGGCTCACTGAAGATGTGTTGCAAGCCCTAAAATCTGAGTTATGGGACAGCTTTACTAAACTCATGGAACTCAAGAGTGATGGCTTGGCACAAACCTTTTTCTCACAAAATGTAATTATGACAACTTCGCTTGACCTCAATTCCCTGGGCCATGGAGGGAATTCTGTTCTTGTAAAGATTTGATGATGACTAAATGGCAAGACTATGCCAATTGCAAGACTAAGAGAATTGCAAAGACTAATGACAACAGAGATTAATTTCCTCAAATGAAAATGCAGTTTCCAGTACTCACTGATGCCAGCCAGTGCAGTACTCCTTGCAGATCTCTCTCCTTCTGTGTTAGAAAACAAAACTATTCTTAATAAATATTTTAGATATATATATATATATAAATACTTATAAAATACTTTTATCTCTCTATATGTGTCTGTCTGTCTATACCCTTGATAAAAGACAAGCAGATGTACTGCACAGAATATTTTCACAGACCATAGGCACTCCTGTTCCAAAACAGCAGTATAATAATTGTAACCATTGGTATATTCAATGTAAATCCTTCTGCAATGAAGCATTACCCTTGTGCATTGTGGGTCCTCTGCTTCAGAAATGCTTAGGTAAATACTAAGGTGCCATTATTCAAAAAATAAAATCCACATCCCCAGAAAAGAAATATGATCTAAAAGGAAGCTGAAAATGAACATTGGTGTTGTCTTTAATATCAAAATGTACAACATAAATTTGGGAAAGCACTGTATGTTCTTCCCTGTGCCTCTGTCAGCCTTCCCAAAGCAGTTTGGTGTTTCTGTTTTATTCAGTGATCAAAGAAGCTGCTGTTTTGAGGAAGCACAACCTGTTTGAGGATAACCTGAACGTGCCTTGTGAGAGTGTGTCCAGCCTGACAGAGCTGAGGACTCCTGTGGGATCAGCACAGGGCACCCCTGCCAAAGTGCCCACGGCTGCCCGAGCCGAGGGATTGGGCACCGAGAGCCACAGGGACGAAACGCTTGTTGTGACAGGGAAAATTGTGTGGGAGAAGGATGCTGATGAGGGAAAGTCCCCAGACAAAGAGGAAGGCACCTCTGTTAGTGCAGGTGGTGTTCAGGCCAGCAGAAAGGAAGCAGTGGCTGTTATAGACATTGGTGACAAACAGGAGTCCCCTTTGGTTGGCCACACTAAACAAGGAGTTGCAGAGGGAAAAAGCGCATTGGAGAATGAATCAGAGTGTGTAGTGAGCACTGAAAGAGAATTCAAGGCACAACAAAAAGCTGTGGAGGAAAAAGTTGCTTCTGGGACTGACACTGCAATAAAAATTCTTGGAGCCAGCCCTAAAAAAGAACTTAAGGTACCTGAAGGAGCAGCAGAGGAAGAGGTGACTTCAGAGAGTCAAACAGTAACAGCTGCCGTGCCTGTCAGTGGCAGTGAGAAAGCAAGCACAGCACAGGAAAAAGTTTCTGAGATAAAGGTCACTTTCCCACCTGAGAATGTAACAGATACAGAAATTTTTGGAAGTGCGGAAAAGAAAAGCAAGTTAGAAAATGAAATTATGGAAAAATTATCTCAGAGTGAGAATGCAGTAGGAACAGGGTTTGAAGGAGTTAGTAAAAAAGAAAGTGGTGAGAGTACTGAGACAAAGATTGTTTCCCAGGATGAAAAGACAGGGAAGGCAGGGTTTGGGGATTGTCCTGAAAAAGAAAGCCAGTCGCAAGAAAAGAGTTGTAAATCCCCCGATGATGTGAATGAGATAAGGAGTTTGTTGATGCTAACAGTTGAGATCCCAGCAGATACTCCAGCTGAGAACATCAAGGAGGTCTGTGAGGGCGAGCTGCTGAAGTTGCCGGAGCACCATAATGGTAACTATGAGTTGAGCAAAGTGGCTGTGGCAGAAATTCAGGTAAGCCAGAAGATGAGGAGTGAAGATGCAGCAGCATGTGTGAAGTTCAAGGAGGAGCAACCGTCCTCAGCCAGCCTGGGGCTAGATGGTACGAGTGTAGAGAGCGTGCCCAGGGGGGCACAAGCACCGTGGCTGGTGGAGAGCTCGGCTCCGTCTCAGGAGGCAAAGGCAGAGGTGGAGATCAAGCCAAGTGTGTGGTACGCGGGTGCGGGAGATGGGAGGTTGCAGCCAGGGGAACACACGGGAAATGGGGTGGAAGACAAAAGGCTGTATGGGGAGGAAGGCACAGGGAACAGCAACGCTGTCTCGGAGGAGGCTGGGACACAGAGCTCCTTTCAGAGCCCTGCTGCACATGCAGCTACCAGGGACGTGCCCATCTTGGATAGAGCAAACCCGGGCCCAGGGCTGCTGGAGCCGGTCTCCCTGGTGCCGCAGCAGCGCCGGGGGCAGCCCAGGGCTGAGCGCACGGCAGACACAGAGCCTGGGGGACGAGAGGGGGAGCCAGATCAGTCATCTTCACACGCAGGAATTCAAAGCACAGGAGGAAAAGCGATTCTCCCAGAAGAACACCGAGAAGGCGGTTCTGCACAGCAAAAGTCTGAGGAGTAGAAAGCAGCTTTCAGCCCAGCCCTGCAGTAATCCCTGCTCAATTGTTAATACTTATTCATGTCGGGGCGGGAGGAAATGCGCTTTGTTGTGGTGTCCCCAGCTCCTGCAGGTTTTCCAGAAATCCCTTCCTGAGGGATGGGTGATGGGTTTCCTTTTGCTTAAAACGAGATTACTGCTGAGGAACTTCATCTGTCACTTCAAATCTGCTCCCTTTTAAAGCTAGAGAAAAAGTCTGAAAATGTGACCATTGAATGCTTCCAATGCCCAACTATCATCAGCTTATTTTAACAACTTAGCTGTTCTTAGGGATCCTCCTGGTTTTTAAATGCATGGTTTTGACAAGTACTGCTATGATTCTGGTGGTTGGTATATACATACTCGAGGGTGCTTTTAGAATTTGCATGCAGTATACAGGAAATAAAATCATTTTTTAGTAGCAAACAGAACCAAATAGTTGATATAGTAGATTGCTGAAAAGTCACACTGTGCAAACTCTGCAAACTAGTTACTTAATTATTTTCAAGTTTTGGCAGATACCAAAGACAAGCAAATATTTGGATTTTTTATTTTTATTTTTTTTTCTCTTATTGCTGTATTTAAAAAGGGGAAAGCATGAGAGCAGGTTTCTCAGTCCCACTCTGCACTTCAGGGTTATTTAGCCTTCCAGAGCACTTTATGGCTATATTGTTTTGTTTTATGGAAGGGAGAGAAGAGAATGTTTACAATAACTATAACCATTAGGCAGCATTTCTCTGGTTTAAATCCCACCATAAAATAGATTCACTTACAGCTATTTCATAGGAAGATTGAGTCCTGCCATTCCTATTCACACTGAGTTACTTAGGTCTGTAGACCTTTTTAAGGTGTGGAAGCCACGTAATAAGTGGCAACAATTGTGAAATATCGGAATCATTGCTTATAATTTCCAATGTAGATGTTAACTGAAGTGGCAGGCAGCCAGAGGTTGTTTTACATATGCTTAGATTTTGGAGGGCAGAATCACATTACAAAAGCTGTTACTAAAATGAGATGGTTGCTTTCATGGTCTGTATCAAACCATGATATTGGTGCAGAGTTGCTTAAATGTGTTCTTTGCATCTCAGTTTGCACAGAAAAGCTTGGAGATGCAGCCCAGTATTTTAGTAAATTGGTCTTTCAAATGCAAAACCTCACTTTAGAGGTCAGTTTAAGGCACCTTGAACTTGTGGCCCAGTGTTTTGAGCCTGTTTCTGAATGTCGTACATTACAGGATAGCAAAGATTAATTATAATTGCAGCATGGACTGCTGGATTTATGCCCATAAAGACACGGGAAGAAATAACAAAGTCCCAGGAGCATAATATGTGTTAACATTTAACTGCAGCAAACTGTGCAAAGTCTTTTAATGCTATCAAAATATTCTCTAATACTAATAGAAAATTTACACTAGAGGAACAGGCAAATATTACTGTGTGAGGAAGGAACTTTGTTGAGTAACGGGATTAACTGCTCTGTCACTGCAGTAAAATAAATGCAGTTTCTGTTTATTCTAGAAGCCGTGCTGTGGTATGGAAACATGAAGGTCATAGATGTTTTCCTTGCAGAAGTACTTTAACTCATTTCCTCATTATATTTCATGCAAAAATACTAATTTGTAAACATACAAACTACTGCCAGCCAATTATTTTTTTACAAATCATTGGTTATTTCAGTGTCAGCTGCTTCACTTTTACAAATCATTAACTACTTTTAATTGGTACTGAATGTTAAGTGACTTCATATTTATAAAGTGCTCATGTTAAGCAGCAGCAAACAGCCTTTTTAAACTAAAATTAGGGAACATGATGGGTTTTTAATACTTCTTTTGTATGAAAGACATGGCAGCATTTTTGCATGGCAGCAAAAAAGACTGCAGGCTCCTGCAAAAGGGAACAAATTCATTCTACTATGTATCTATGTATCTACTATCTGTACAGAAAGCATTTTGCATAAGTATTCCCATAATGGTAATTTTGGAGTTATTTCTGTAGCAGGCCTAGATCTGGGTAATATTTTCCTGTCATGTGAGTTGCACTTCTGAATGCAGATGCTCAGATGTTTTTCACCAGTGAGATGGGAAGGGATGGGAGGATTCAGCTTGTACATTGCCTGGTTCTGCAATTTAAATTGCAGTTCCTCATGGCCAGGGTACTTTTTTCCCGGTTTTGGGGATTTTCTGCCCGTTTGCAAATGGATAAAGTAGTGCTTTTTTAGTCTCTACCACAGTTGGTTAGAAGCGACAGCTTGGTTAGAAGAGCTCAGCAATCTGCAAGGGACCACTGATCGGAAATGGTAATAATGCACCCATTCCGTCGTTTTTATTGTTTTCTTGCAGCTTACAAACTGGGAACCGTAATAAATCGCCTCTTATGGCCCATGGCCGAGAGTCGGGTGTCCTGATGGGAGAGGGCTGGGGTGTGGAATTCCATCGGGTTTTCAGTGTTAAAAGCAAGGACATAAAACACATTGTATTTGCTTGGAACTTTGTACAAACGCTTGTCATGGAAATAAAGACGCTCTTCCCTTCCTTTGCTGGGAGGCTGCTTTTGTGAGTGTGAGATAATTTGGGGGATTTTATTAAAGAAATGGTCCTCGTGCAGCTGGGAATGACAGAGGTGTTTCCTTCCATTGCCGGAGGGGAGCCTGCGGGCAACACCGAGAGGGAGTTTTTACGGGAGCACGAAGTGACAGCGTGAGGGGGAATGGATTCAAACTGAGTATTAGATTTCGTATGTAGGAGGAAGTTCTTCGCCGTAAGGGTGCTAAGGCCCTGTCACAGGGTGCCCAAAGAAGCCGTGGCTGCCCCATCCCTGTGTGTGCAAAAGCCAGGCTGGGACTCTAATCACATCCCTACCCATGATGAACTACTCCGTACAGCCCCTTCCGTTCCGAGCCACTCCACCATTTCCCGGCACACTCGGCACCTGGGGCTCGCACGGAGCCGGAGCGGGCAGCGCCTGAGGAAGGGCAGGGCGCGGGGCACGCCGGGAACTGTGGTTCCCCCGCCTTTGTCCACGTCGACCGGCTCGGTACGCGTTCCCTGCCGGTGCACGTGACCCCCCTCGCCACGCTCCCCCATTGGCCCGGCGGCGCGCGCTGGGGGGCGGTGCCGGAAGTGGCGGCGGCGCGAGGCCGTTTCCTTG